ATACATTTTAAAAATTAAATTCATTTAAATTCTGTCCCTAGTCATAAATATGCACTGAACTGTGTATGTGAAAACACTGGAAAACCACTAACTCTATCTCTTGACTTTATCATATTTGAAAAAAGGAGAGTCTACTGATATGATAAAGTATGTCTATAAAGAAAATATTTTCTATATTGCAAACGATGTACTTACTTTTGGAATATAGTCCATGTTTAAGTTGAGGATGGAGTGTGTTTGTGTTGCTAGCTTAATATTTCTATTTTAGTAATGTTCTACCTGCTAAATGCAAGGACACACCAAGAAATTAGTATTAACCTTTTTGAGCTTAATTTTCCAAAAATCTTTGCTGACTCTTTATTTGAAACTCCAGCTTCTTATAAAGTCCACTTCTAACATCTGCCTTAGCAGTGCTGCCTAAATATTTTTTCATTGTGACCCACACAGAAACTTGCTATTTTTACAGCACTCAGAAGAAAGCCAATGAAGCTACTCTGGGCTGCAGCCCAATGTTCCAGACTCCAACTCCCCTCGAAACTTCCAGGCTGCATTCAGGACAGGGAGATTAATATCACAGATGTAACTTTTGAGGAGCTCTTTTTAAAAGAAATATGATTCTATGAAAAGCAGGTCATTATGTGAATTGACCAGTTTTCAGTTAAGTCAATACAGAGCTAGAGATCTTGATGGTAAAGAGTTTACCACTGTGTGTCCGCTCGTGGGCTTCTTTGGTTAATGGTAAAAAAGTATGCTCCCGAGTTTTTGTTGTTGTTTGTTTTTTTACTTTTTACTCACCCATTGTTCCTGTAGTAAGATCAGACTTGAGAGGAATGAGAAGAGCAGACAAGAAAAATCAAATCAAATGAAATAATGCTGGCATTTTGGGAGGCTGAAGTGGGAGGATCACTTGAGCTCAGGAGTTCGAGACCAGCCTGAGCAAGAGCAAGACCCTGTCTCTACTAAAAATAGAAAAATTACCTGGGTGTGATGATGCATGCCTGTGGTCCCAGCTACTTGGGAGGCTGAGGCAGGAGGATTGCTTGGGCCCAGGAGTTTGAGGTTGTAGTGAGCTATGATAACGCCCAGGCTAGTACTCTAGCCCGGGTGACAGACCAAGACCCTGTCTAAAAAATAAAATAAAATAAAGAAATAATATAAAAGGAAGGAAAACAAAAAAGGGAGATGAGGCAACATAAAGGACAATTGCCCTTTTCAATGACAAGATATTTCTTTTCAGAATTAGAACATATCAAGCAAGATGAAAGAGTATACATGAGCCAAAAGGGAGATCTATACTTTGCAAATGTGGAAGAAAAAGACAGTCGGAATGATTACTGTTGCTTTGCTGCATTTCCAAAATTGAGGACTATCGTACAGAAAATGCCAATGAAACTAACAGTTAACAGTTGTAAGTCCAAATAATTTATCGTTCCATCGTGTACGCTGAATG